GCACAGGCTGCTTTTCCCACATCCTTTGGTGCTGCCAGTTCTAGTAGGACACCATTTATCATGGGAAACAATGATGCACTTCCCTCCTAGTTAGACCATTTTAGAATGAGCTATAGTCAATTCAATGTGTTTACACATCAGTGTTTGTACAGACACCTGAAAGCAAGGACAAAAGGTAACATATATGCCCAATGTAAAAGTAGTTAACAGAAGGTTCTGTCATTGTGATGATTTTAAGAAAATCAATAAGTAAGTAGCCTTTTTTTTTCACATCTACCATTATTTACAGAGTTTTCCTCTTACAAATTCAGGCTACTGGAGGTGGTGGTGTTTAAACACCTAATAAGAACCCAGAGGAAGGCTTTTCTCTGGGTCTCGAAAGCAGTTATGACATCTATCAATGAGAGGAGGCTGTTATTGGACCTCATGACATATTACTGTGGGATTTTCTCTTCATACCATAATGTCACATTAATAAGTAAGTTATGAGATTTCACCTAAATCCCTGCTGTGCTTGTAACACCAGCTTCTTTCTCATTTAAAGCAAAGCACTGTTTTTTCCACTGACTATCCTTCATGGTGTAGTAAAAAAAAATGGAGAGAATTGTCACCCAGATGTACCAACATGCTTAACTAAATATATCAGCATTTAATATAACCTAATTCTAATTTCATACTTCCTTACAGCCTTACAGCACAGGGCGCTGTGAAATCCATAGCATGAAGAGTTTTGCTTGGTTTTTAATCCAGCATTAAAGTGTTCTATATTAGTCAAAAAGGAGCGTTGTAAAAGTATTGACGCCTTTGCAGATTTTATTCACTAAACAGACTTTGAAGTTAAAAGAAACAAAAATCCAAATACAGTTTTTAACTTATTGAACTCTCCTAGAAAATAATCTGGATCCAAACAACTCTGACCGTCAGTAAAAAGGCAATGTCCCATTAGGCTAAAGATACGTAGGTGATGAAACAAATGCTGCTCTCTAAATCCACCAGGGAGCGTTGTCACAGATCCTTCCTCCCAGCAGCTTTAAGACTTTATAACGGTCATTGTTCCCAACAACCTCTATACGTTGTTACATTCATGGTCACTTATATAACATGCTGCCGTCCTTTTTGCACATCTCTGGTGTTGCTTCTATTTTTTCCACATATGCATTACTGTAAAAATGTCCACAGCTGTATATTGATTATTTACTTTCTCCAGATGCAAAGTATTTATAGTGTAAAAACACTATACAGTACAGCACTTTATTTGTTTTTTTTTTTTCTAACTCTGTCACTTATTCTGTTATTTTTATACACTTTTTTAAGAACCACATTTGTCTGACAACTTTTACTATAATGTTTTTTGCTGCTGTAACATCACAAGTTCCCCATTTGTGGGACAATAAAGGGATTAAAAAAATAGAATTGTATTGATCTCACAATGTAGAAATTAACTCTCTGCATTTAATCCATATCTTTGGGGTGCAGTGGACTGCCACTGTGCGGCGCCGGGTGAGCGGTGTGGGGTTAAGGGTCTTGCTCAGAGACCCAGAGTGCAAGCTGTGGTGATCGAGCCGGATACTTGCAACCTTTTCGGAGCACAAGGGCACTGCTCTAACCATGAGGCCAACACTCCCCCTCTATTCTATTCTATTCTATTCTATTCTATTCTATTCTATTCTATTCTATTCTATTCTATTCTTTTTTTATTCTATTCTAAAAATGTAATGCAACAGCAACTTCAAATTAAAATAAAACATCAGATGTTGTTCAAAGTAGAGTTATTTTCCCAGATAAACAGGAACAGATGAGTCAAACACAGATCAATATTAAGTTCATCTTTATTTTCTTTTACAACTGATATTTAGAGGTATAGGGTAAAGTTAACTTTAGGCTATATCTCTTTATGTTCCAAAATGTTTGCATTTATGTATACTTGCATTGGTCTTACACAAGCAAAAGGATGTGGAGTTCATTCCAAGAGAGTTAGACTCCCTACTGTTGCATCCCCCTCATCGAGCAAAGCCAAATCAAATGGCTCTTACCAGACCTCTGCAGAGCTGAATAACATGCTTAAAATTGATTCTTTTGGATAAAAGGGATCAAGAGGTTACAAGAAAGTAGAACTAGTCTTGGGCACCTCTGGTTTTACTTCCATATCACTTCGATATCAATGCGTTTTTGTGCACCGTGTTTTTTCTCCCACACTGCTTACATTTGATCACTGCTGCACTTTAAAAAATGAAAATGTCAAGAAAGCTGTACAAAACGAAAAACAAGCTGTACAAAACAAAAGCTGTCTAAGTCTTAAGTTATACATCAATTGGACATCTTGGCTTGGATGTCTTTTTTTAAAGATATTTTAGCAAATGATAAGGTGCTGATAATACCTTTTAGTTTAATTTAGATACTTGTCAGCTGTTGGAAAAGTGAAGCTCCCCTGTCTTGGTTAGAAAGAAAACTGTCTTGAGAAAGAAGTGCATTATCCTTACCACACATGGCCTGAAGCAGTTTCCAGTGTAACTGAGAAAAAAAAAATCCTTTGATAAGATTTGTCCTCTCTTAACTGGCATCAAAGACTGTGTCAAATCCAGCTGTCCAGTGGAATTTATTTTATGCCCCCCTTTCTGCCAGTAGGTGGAAAAATGGTCATGTTGATATTCCCATCATGCATCAACCTGGTAAGGACAAGCATGACTGTAAATGTGGGAGAAGAGCTGACTACTAATGCATACATCATCTAGCATCATATTGCTGGAGCTAAAATCTATATGTATACAAAAAAGCTCATTTTATCTGTTTAGTGTCAAGTTTAAAGATTATAAAAATGTGGGAAGTGTCATTTCTGCAAAAGAGGAGTAATTTCTTAAATTTTATAGTTGAATAAATTTAGAGCAAAGGCAGACAAACTGTTTCATTCGATGGAAATTATTTTTTTTTATATTACCGGTATACCATTTAGAAACAATGACATATCCTACATGTTTAAGGAAAATTGTTTGAGTAAATGATTTTATATTGGCTGTGGCAGGAATGAGATGTTTAAATATATTTTATTAGTTTCTTCGATAAAAAAACAAAAAAACATTTTACCCCCACAAACTATGCGAACTGAAATCAATGTGGGAAAGTACAGAGGGTGTTATGACTTTGCTTGCATCTGATTTTACAACTTTCAAGTTCACTAGAGGAAGATTTGGTGAAATACTTTAAGACAACTCTACACTGGAAAAAATCTAGATCTAGATCTACATTTTTATTTTCTTAAAATAAGTGCATTTGTTCTTGAATTGAGGAGGTAAAAGAGACATTTTGCCAATGGAGCAAAATGATTTACATTTAAAACAAGAAAACACAATTGCATTGTCTTATTTTAAGTGCATTTTATCTTAATAATATTTCATTTTAAGAGTAAAAATAGTAATTCCAATGGCAAATCATCCCATTTTCCTACTCAAACTAAGGGTAAGTAAACTTAATTTAGGAATTTTTTACTTAATTTTAGATGGTTTTCCCAGTGTATCACACCGCTGTCTATGTGTGACATCAAACGAAACTCTAAATGACATATCACTAAGAGATTAAAAGACCTTCACAAGTCTGGCTCAGCTTTCCAGATGTTTGAAGGTGACGCATTTATTTCTAAATTTCAGTTAAATATATTTATTGACCCTATGGGATCGTTGATCCATAACGATCAGGAAGTAGACAAGGTTCTGTGTCACAGAGAGAGGGAGAGGTCGGCTGTGAGGCGTGCATATCAACCACAGGACTAATTTAAAAGCAGTCATGAAGAATAGCTCACTGAAGTTGGTAGGTTAAACTAAAATTGAGGTTTTTGGTCAGAAAAAAAAAATGTAGCTAGAAACTTATAAGCTTGCAGGCAAATAGGTCTTCCAATGGGAAAAGCCTATAAGAACATCATCAGATTACTAAAAAGGTGCTGGAACAGTGGACTAATCAGACGGACTCAGTCAAAGCAGCTCTGTCAGTAGAAATGAGGCGAAAATTCTCAAAGTATTGTGAAAATCTTATTGAAGGATATCTAAAACAATCAATTTAGAAGTTATAATAATTAAAATTCAATCATTGAAAAAAGTCGTAATTTGATAGCCTTTCTGAAAAATATGTAGATTAAATGTCAAAAAACAAAAATGAAATACTTTTTAGAATAGTTATACAGTTTAAAAACTATTTCAAACAATTCACTGCACAGCTTTCTGTTATATAAATTTCAAATTACTAGAAATATTCACCTTCTTACTGATGTTCTAATTCTGTGATGCACCTGCTAAGGTTTGGTGTAAATACAATAATTATCCCCAACAAAACAATTATACTTTCACTGATCAAGCTCTGGCTATTTTTATTTTTTTTATTTTGTATTTATTAGTTGCCAGAATCGTATATTACAATGTTCATAACAATGCTAGAAAACAGTTAGGATTTTACAAAAGTGTGTTTAGCCATTCTTCCACATATAGTCAAAAATAATGAATTCAAAGCCTATTTCTGTAACAACTCTTATTAAAATCTAGTTGAACAAAATGTGATCAACTTCAAATTTGTGTATTATTTGTGTTGATTTCAGAAGTAGCATAATTAGTTGTTATTTTTAATGTCATTCTTATGCACACCTAGGCTTGGTATAAATTAAAAGCATATTTTGTTCAAAGAGGTTTGTGATACTGGTTGTATTTGAAATACTCATGGTAACCTATCTAGACTCCATTCTCCTGCTCATTTTATGCAGATATATTGTACACTTTAAATATTAGCATATTACATAAGTCATTAGAAAGATGTACAATCAACACCATGTGCATTCTACTAGATTTGGGCTGCATCAAGTGAAAACAAGTAAGTCTGAACAAAAAAAATGGCTTCAAATGGTTTCATCCCATCAGCAGTGCCTCATGTAAGAGGTATGATTTTTTATATTTCATTCCATCTCATTTTGTCTGTGACTCAATTTAATAAAAACAATAAAATAAAAAGAGACCAAACATTACTATCGTCTCGAATCTCATGATTTTATTATTGAATTAAGCACCAGCCTAATATGATCAACATCCAGACAAGTGAACATATATATTTTTTGTTTCATGTCATACAGTATAAAATGTTTACAGATAATCAAAGTCGTATTATTCCAGCCTCTGTGTCCTTTGCGGTTTACTGTCCAGGAGCTGAGAGGCTTTTGTTCATGAACTGCTTCTTCACGAAGCACAGCCACCACTGAAACAGGAGACAAACAAACAAACATTGGTGAGAACAATCACTTAAAGCACCAAACTTCTCAAGTGGTCAGATTCTTTTTATTCCTTTTAAATTGAAAACAAATAAATTGTTTATACAGGAATGAGTAACTCTAATTTAATGCTTTTTATTGCTCTTAGAAATAATTTTAATGACATCAACAAGTACCCAGCCCTCTCATATATACACAGCAAAATCCTTCATCATTTTTACCATCGAAGGGCTGCAGCAATGTCTCAAAATCCTAGATTTCCAGCAACTTTAGTTGAAATTAGCATTTTCCCGATTCTCTAGCTTTTTCTCCGCGTCGAGGTTCTTTTCTGAACATACGGCTTAAAGATCAACCGGAATCAGTTCCACGCAAATATAATGCAATATATATTTAATGAAATTGTTAACTTTTTTTTTTTTAATAAATAATTTTAAATGCCACAAAAACCACATTTAATGAATTTTAATACAAACTTAGGCCTTAATTTTAAGAATAATAATTTTATGACTCAATGATTTTTAATGACCGGTGGATACGCTGTAATAGCTGTTTATTATTTTAGATTACATAAAGGAATCACAATTTATGAGCAATGAAGGTTCAATGCTTTTTTTGTATAGATTTTCATGGGCCTTTATATTTTACTTTCAGAAATGGTTTGAAAACAAATCATTTGAATTCTTCTTTGAAGAGTTTAAAGTGTTTTAAAAAAAAAAACATAAAAAATCTATAGGAAATATTTATCCTCCCTAAGTATTTATCCAAGTCTAGAATTTTAGTTGTTCAAGGTTTAGAAAGATTGCTCCTTTAACAAAAAGGAGAAAATAGCCATATAGTTCATATTTAATTTACAGAGGAAATATATTGGTTTGTAAACAGGAGATAAACAGTGACATTAAAAATATCTTTAGTTATTTAATCTTGTGACACAAATTTACAGCCATAATAACCAACTCACTAGGTTGGGTTTAAATGCTGAGCTACAGAAAATGGCTCCATTCTGACCCGGGCAGAGCTTTTTCACATGAAATAGTTTAGGTCACAAACACACAGAGCCGGTTTGCTCAGCATGCCTCGTATCCACAGAACACACAGCCTAACCCTTAAGCATTTCCAACTGGTTTGTTCTCATTAGCTGATGAAGTTTTAAGGCGCCAATAATACACTCACTCTTATTCAAAACCTAAAGGCGGGCAAAAAAATAATAATAATAACAATGCTGTATTACAAGGCAGGTGGAAAAACTGATAGATTTTCTTTTGGTTTTTTTTTCCTCAGTTGAGCGCATTTGGCTAACAACATAGTATCTGTGGAACTACCGTTATCGTGGGCAACGTCAGAAAAAAAAAATGCAATGATTGGATAACAGCAGCACAAAAATAAAATATATATTGTCAGGCATTCAAAGAATTTTTATATTTTCACATCTACTTTATAAACGAGCCAACTCTGATAAAAAAAAGAAAGAAAACTCAAAAGGCGTCAGCCTCACCTTGCTGGGTTTGTCTGTTTGAGGGTCAAACACGCGGTCACACAGCCTTAACCCAGTCTCCTGCCGGAGCTGCTGCAGGTACGCCCTCATGGTCTCTAAAACACCAAACGTACAATTTGATCAGCGTTTTATCACTTTTGAACCACTTACAAAACTGACAGTTGTGATTTTGAGCAATTTTTTAATATGTGTTCTACAGGAACAAAAAAAAAAAAAAATCAACATCCATGTTTCATCCCTTTTATCAGCAGCTTGAATATTTTCTGAATATTCTCTCTTGCATCTTTAAGTGTTTGGTTTCTGAAATTCTCAACATATCGAAGTTTATGTTTGTTGCGTTCTTAAAGCCATAACTCACCATCCTCCTGTTTGTTTGCAGGCTTTACATACATAGCATTAAGAGGGAAGCCGGGTTCTCCAGGAATGGGAAAGTTAGTGATGCCCAGGGTGTACATCTCCTTCTCTCCCTGGCTCCTGGAGCTGCACTGAAAAAGACATCATTCCCCAACGGATCATTTTCAAAATTCATTTCAAATCAACCACCTCCTCCTTAAGATTTTTAGCTTTAACAGAGGCATTTTAACTACTATATCTTTTAAAAAGGTGCACCAAGAACTGCTGATGCACCAGAGTAAACATTTACCTTCTGTAGCTTCTTCAGGCATTCAGAAATGTAGAGTGTAACATAGATCAATGTCCTGTCTGCTTCATTCTGAAAAAACAAACATTTACACTTATTGAGTTATTTTTCAAAACTCACTCCGATTGAACTGGAAAATATTCTGAATCATAAATGCAGGGTTTGAAATACTGAATTTCATTCCTCTGTTAATGAAGGTTTTTGACAAATTACGCATTTCTGAATTTACCTGAATGAATCAAGTTTTTTCTCATCATTTAATACTAAAAATATTATATTTGATCAGCTGGAAGGACGATCACCATCTTTTATATGGAGGAGAAGATGGCTGAGGGGATTATCGGGTAAGAAAATGCTTCATTTTAAAAGAGGTTTTCGAGCATTTTCAGATTACATTAGTAAAATTACTAAATCTCAATTCAAAGGTTTCTTACTGAATTCCCGTTTAGATCAATCAAGATGTGAAAAAAATAATACATTTATAAAGTGGTTTGAGTGTTTACTAAGTAGGGTTTTGAAAGCTACTGTAACTTAGACAAACTATATTAAAGAGTTTAACCCTCACCATAAAATACAAAATGATTGTGTGGAAGAGTGAGACAATGATGAATGATCCCACAAGATGGTGCACCTCTATGTGAGAATGATGTACAGTCAGATGAAGCAAACCCACATCTACATGCCAGCGGATTTACTTCCCATTTTGTAGAAATACAGTTAGACTGTCATCACCACCGACTGAATCTTTCTCTCTGGGTGAGGTGTTAGTGCAAGTCTTTTAGCTGTTTCTCTGATATTATTCCTCTTTGTCGTAGGACAAACTGACACAGATACCTTAAAGATGGCACAAAAGGCTGAATAAATTGCCTTAAAGTTGATCCCTCTGGTTGTTGTGTCATGCAATGATGACCTACACCACCCTTTCATTTCTAATGCCATTCTTTGAATCATTAAAGTTGTAGGAAAGCGGCTGTTCCAACCATTGCATTTCCAAATTCTCCAAAGTGGTGCCCGACTTTACGCAAGTGAGTAAAATGAATGTGATTGGTCGATTATCAAGGGGGCGGGATTGTTGTGGCGGAAGGTTTGCAAGCAAGTTTGGTTGTGGCCGGTGTCTTGGAAGCATCTTGCTAACCAGTTAGCGACTTAATGCTAATAGGTTCCCAATGGGAAATTACATTGGGAGCACTAAATTGGTGACTTAGAAACAACACTGTCAAGGAACACTATGGACAGCGGCAACATGCAAGAGGAGGAGGGTTTTGTGTCGTTGTGGATGAGGACGCCAGGGCGGAACTCAATGAGAAAGTAAATGGTTCTTATTTCAACCATTGCATATATTAGCTGCGACATATGAATCAAGATGCTATGACTGAAAAAATTTGATTGACAGATGACCTTTGATATATGATTGGATGAAATTTAGGTGTACAGGCTGACGTATAACTAATTGGCCTGCATAAGATAGATTTAAAGACAAGATTTTTTTTTAAATAGAAATTTTCTAAATTTTGGGAAAATATGGCCTGATAAGGAGTACATTTATATACATGTTTCAGCCAGAAAGATTTGGCAATTAAATATGACTTCCATACAACTTTAAGCTTTCACTGCTCACTTTTTTTATTTCATAAATTTCATACTTTGAAGTGAATCGGACAGTTATAGGCTACAAGAACAGCTAAAAACAAGGAGCTGCTAAAATGGTATGTGTCCTTGAAACTCCAGAGCATCTGCCAGAAGACTGTTTTTTTCCCCTTTCTAGAAGGGTGAAAGGAATGAGATGAAGCAAGCCAAGACATGTGGAGAAATATGACTAACATGGCCACTAGGAGAAACAAAGCTTACAGAGGCATGGAGTTATTTACATCAATGCATGATTATTTAACTTTATTTGGTTAAAACTTCAAAAAGTACTTAATGCAATTTTGTGGATGTATTTCAACTTTTTGTCTAGTATATTTTAAAATTTCTAAACCGACAGTGGAACACATCAATATTTTTCCTAACCGTAAAGGAAAATAATGACTTAGATTAAAGCCTAAAATATTTCCTTTATATACATTTATTGAAATCTTACCTTGATTTCGTAATTCTTAAAGAAAACATTAGCCTTGAAGTAGTAGATTGCCTCATCGATGATGTCAGAATCTATGCCTGAAAAAAAAACAACAGAATTTTCATTAAAGAAGATAACATCCCATTTCTTATATCTATTGATTTGGCTCTGATCTCATTGATGTTATTAAATCTGAATTATTAGAAAGTGACTAAGTACCACATTCAGATGTTTTAACTTTACAGCTGTGAGATGCATTAATCTAAATCTCTTTGCAGAAGTTAGAGGAAAGGAGCTACTTTATTCAGACCATATAAGGAAGTGAAGCTCAGTCATGAATCAGGAACTTAATGCATGCACACATTTCTACAGAAAGATGAAATAAACCCTTACCATCTCCTCTTGCTGGACCCTTGAACTGTGTTTTGACAGGGAGCAGGGCCATGTTCCCCACCAGTCTGGTTTCAGGGACCATCAAGCCTGAGTGATAAGCCTAAAGAGATAAAACAGGAACTCCTGTCACTTTATGTTTATCGAATACATGTATTAATTTACGACCTCCCTGAAAAAAACACGACTTTTTATTCAGGGCACCTAGAATATTATACATTTATATATTCTAAACTCAAATGCAGTGCAATAACACAGCTGAATTTGTATACTTTGCGAGTCAAACGCCAGCAATTATGAACCGAATGCTAAAGGAGCTAGCTTACTGCGCTATATGTTTTCAGCTAACGTTAACCGGAAGCCAGTTATAAAAGGTATTTACGCATTTCTACAAAGGTTTAGCTTCTTACTTTCAGCCTATACCCATCAATTATCCCACTTGAGAAACTCACCGGCATGTTGAACGACAAATATCAATCCAACTGCTCAGCAGGAAAAATGTACAGGCACCCCCAAGCCGCTGCTTCCGCTTGTCCCACCCTGCAGCTTTACAGGAAGTAGCCACGTGTCATATGCTGGAGCAGCCACGAGGGGGCGCTCACAAATAGTTTTCTCATAGAAAAAAGGGGCCAGTTGTCAATTTTATGTAATATTTTATTTAAAAAATATACATTTCAGTAATAAATCTATCAAATATTTAGACTTGGACATCATTTTAAAATAAAATAACATAAAGTGGAGTTTTTTTTATTAATTGTTTAAAAAAAAAGACTTTCATGCAAGTTTACAGTCAAGCACTTATGCAGTGATATTAAACATTCAAGTTGAACTTCAATGGTTTGTGTCAACGTGACATTTTTCCCACTCCAGTCCAGTCAATCCTCAGCTGCTGACTTTGTCTTGAAATATCTCATCGTAATTTAAGTTGGATTGCTCTTCATCAACCTCCTGTTTGTAGAGAAAAACGTTGACATATTATTACAAATAAAGAATATAAACACAGATAAGACAAAAACGGTGTCAGACAGTGTAGAGATACAGCACATGCCTTGCATGCTTATTAATACACCAAATACTTTTTGACATTTGACATCTTTGAATGCATTTTATTGGCTTATTTAAAGGTATATCACAATTACAATCTTGACATTCTTTTTTTCTTTTGTACTCTGGCATCAGAGAAGCAGCTAAGATGTCTTTGATAAAATTAGATAAGCTGGAAAGCCCCAACTAAAACTTTATGGCCTAAATGCAAAATAATTTATTGATAGAAGATGACTCACTTCACTGACTTCTCTTTAAAATAACATTATTTGTGTTGGTCTTTTGCATTAGGCCTCACAAATGTGACATTTGAAAAATTGTAGATTTTTTTGGTTTTAGTAAGTGCCCCAGTTAGGGTATTTTACCTTAGGTTCCTTAACCTCCAGGTCCTCACCATACTGTATGGAAAAGTCAATGTGCTGCAAAACTATATTAATCCCCTCCTCATCTGTACGGTCGAAAGGCAGGAATCTCACCATGCTGTAGTCATCTATCTGCAAACACAGAATTTTTATTTTATTTTTTCTTTCTGAATACAAACTCTAAGAATGTCATTAAAAACCTGAACTAAGACTCTACTTACCAAACCACAGATTGCTTTAGTGAGCTTTTTGAACTTTTTGCTCCTGAAAGTCTCAGAATTGTCCTCCATCATGGAGTACATGTCTGGGTCCAAGTACCTAATATATAAACACGCATAACAAGTAAACACATATATAGAAGCAAAACAGGAATCTGTATAGTTAAAACCAGATAGATAACATGCAACAATTAAGTGGAGAAGCAGATGATCATCTTGGTAACAGTTTTCAGGGAAATGTAACAATCCAATAAATAAGGCTGTGTTTTATTATACTTACTTTTCGATTTCTTTCTTAGCTTTTGGACTAAGCAAGTCCATTTTAGTCATGATGTTTACTTGAGGAATTTCTAACGACACCATGGCACTGAGGGCAGCCATGACCCCAGAGATGAACTAGAGATCAAGATAAGGGAGACAAAGACATGTGGGTTAATTTGAGTATCATCTGTAACAATTCAAAAATAATATAAAGTAACAGAAATAAAGAAAAAAGTGATTTAAGGAAAAAATGACAATCTTTCAAATCAGCCAAGAAAAACGTACCTTAAAAGACTCGACCATAAACTGAGAGTCGACCAAAAAGACCCCGCAAACCCGGAACTCCCACTGCTGTAGCTGCTCCACCAGCTGCCTCATCACAGGGAGGTGAGTGTAAAGTTCAATCTGACCTGTTAGAGCATTAGAACAGCTGTCAGTCATTAAAAACTAATATTTATCCATAGAATGACCTAAGGTGGATCTGAACAAAACAGACTTTTATTAAAATGGCAGCTTTTTAATCATATAAACCAACATAACCAGGAAAAATCATTGGTAAACTAGTTCCAAGTTTAGTCTGACTTATACACTGTGCTATTAAACTGATAAATACAATAAATTTAAGTAAAAACCTCAAGTAATGAGGTTACACATGTTTGGAAATTCTTGAGAAACTACTTAGTGGAAACACGATGTTCATTCAGTAAGTAGAATTCAGTCTAAATTAATAACCCCACAGTTCAGAATAACATTCCGGAATTGGACTGATCTATGCCAAAACTTTTTTTTTTTTTTGCACTTATGCACAGCAGTTAAGATGGGTAACAAGAAGCTGGGGTGTAAGTGTATGTTTTTTTTTTTTTTACGTTTCTTCCAAACTAATGAAGGTTCATGACTTATTGAAGCTTGAATTCACAGCATCACATTTACCAGGGCAATCAAATAATATGTAGTCATCCTCTACATGGCCCAGGCTTTCCTCCAGCCAGTCAAAGTTGTTGGCGAAGTACTCCATACAGAAGACCAGGCCTCCGTTAGGGCCAAATCTCAAAGAGTCATCCTCCATCACATCGTCCACCTGAATAAGTTCCCGGATATCTAAGAAAACACAAATAGAGTGTGCCTTTCAGATAAAATCTAGTTGTGAGAAAATTACGATTCTGCACAGATCATCACAATCACTGAATTGCTTTATTGTTCATAACATCACTGGATATTATAATCAAACATTATGATCATCCAAAACGTCCCTTTTTTTAAATCTATACTAAAAATTAAATTCAGTCTTATTCCAGTACATAAAAGTCCAGTGGATATTTTGGAAAGACGCATGGATGTTTCACTCATATAAGAGCAACAAGAACTTCTGCTGCACAAAACTCAAAATTTACACTAAATTATATCTGATCTGGTAAGGAAAAAAAAAAAAAAAAGAAAAAAATAAACAAATACAGCTCAAATAAAAAAAGACAGCAAAAATAAAAATAAAGTGCAAACAGGACAATCAATATCGGGATTAGTCAGCGAGTATCAAAACTAGGTGTACCATAATAAGAATTTGCATACCAGTAGAGGAATGCGCAGTAGGATTATAACAATACAAAAAAAACAAACTCGAGAACCAAACCAAAAAAAACACTCCATAAACCAAAAAAGTATCGACACCACAAAGATAAAAACAAACAAGCCAAAATACGAAAAAAACAGACACATGAAGAAAAAAAAAACAACAAATAAATAAAATAAAGGAAGGAAGCTATGAACAACAGCAAGCTTTTTTTTACAAGTGTAAGATATAACAGATTTTTTATGTTTAATAGATTTAACATTTTTTTAGACAAATGTAACTATAGGTTTTCCTGTGTAATATTCACATAATTTGTTTTAATAATTTGTTTGTTAATTTGTTTTTTTTTTTATTATTGTTACGGTCGATGTGTATTTTAGCTCTGTCAAATTTTTCATTTATTTGTCTCTTTATCATTTATTTAATCTACAGGGCCAGAAGCTGCTGGATTGATATACAACAGCATACTAGATTCTCTCAATATTATTGGGGATGTTTTTATTTGTGTCACACTTTCTGTGTTACATAATTAAAATAGATCTTAACTGATTGTTTCTCAGTTTTTGGGGGGTTGTCGCCTAGCACTGAATGGTTTTGTTATTTAACCTTTAGATGACAGAGGATCATTGTGACACCTCAACCAGTTTGGCAGCTAAAAAAATACATTTTGTTAGTTCGAAGAAATAAAGTAGGTGATTGTTGAGTATTTGATTCCTTAATCACTAAGCAGAGGGGTATATAACTTAGTATATGACTGAAAATGATGTCCTACCCCTAACATACCATGATTATATCCCTGATTACTGAAATAAAAGTGGTTTTTGAAGCTTTTCTCCTGAAGCTCTCACCGTTCACCATTAGTACAGAACAGAATAAAGTGGGCTATATCATTCTATGTCATCAATCTTGCAATTATATAATAAAACGCATTCGTTTCGGACATAAATTCCAAGTATAACTGACCTGCCATGACAGGATAATCAAAGTATTCAGCAGCTGGGTCCAGGTTGACCACCTGAACTGAGCGGTTTAAAGTCTCTGCATGTTGAACCATGGTGGAGCAGTAGGTACTCTGAGAAAGAAAAACAAAAAACGTTAGGAAACGTAGTGAGAAATTATTCTCTTTCTAGAAGACGGGACAACCTCATGCCAGATAACACGTTAGCCGAACCACCTAGCATAAATTACCTTGCCGCTTCCAGCAGGGCCCATAATTAACTGAGCATAACGAGGCATATTCTACCTCTGGTGTAAAATCTTATTCCCTCTGACTTTCACCCTTTATGAACTGCCACGATAGTTAAACTCACTACAATTAGCACAACACTTTAGTACCACTGTTTTACTAACTCTTACTCTTCGTTTGCGGACAACACGCTGTGGGTACCACTACTGCCATCTACTGGTTAGAGTGTAAATTAGCACTCTCTCGCAAGCTGTAGGTAAATATTCATTTAAATAAAATAAAATAAAATAAAAATCCAATAGCCACTTTTACTTCTGTAATAATGATTATTATTATTATTTTTTATATAAGTGATCTAAATGTTCATATTTTTACGGAAGAGGATTAGGGCCACTGAAAAAAATCCAAAAAGTTAACAGATTTTTAAATATTATTTCAGTTTAATATGGGGGGAAAAAATCTGAATTGTGACTTTTATTTCAGAATTCTGACTTTAATCTCAGAATTCAGACTTTTTTTTCTCAGAATTCTGACTTTAATCTCAATATTCTGACTTTTTCCTCGGAATTCTGACTGAATTCCCTCAGCTAACAAACATTTTAGCATCAAGCCATAGCCATGTTTGTTTTAGAGAGGGCTCTCTTGATTTAATCACCTTCTGCTCTTCCATTAATGAAATAGCATCACCAGGGACCCCTCGGGCATGTAAAAAGTTGCCTAATTCCGTAATTTTCCACCAATGTATCACTGGCCCTCTCAAAACAACTCACTTCTTTGTCAGTGAAGCTGAGTGCTTCCACATCTCTTCCTTTATGGTGCCTATCTACAATAAGATCCAAAATTCTCATTAAAGATTAAAGTAATAATTCTGACATTAAAGTCAGAATTCTGAGATTAAAGTTAGAATTCGGACTTTTTTCCCATATTAA